GCATCAGTTTCCACAATAATCTTTCGGTCTGGGTTAAAATGAACTAGTATAGGTGCCGTTGTAAACATCTTTTTCAAGGTTTGAAATGCCTTCTCCCTTTCATCCGTCCATTCGAATTTAACATTTTTCTTCGTTAGAGCTGTAAGTGGGGCGACAATCTTTGAATATCCTAAAATAAACCGTCGATAAAAATTTGCAAACCTCAAAAATACTTGAACATCATGAAGATTTGTCGGTGTAGACCATTCTAAAACATCAATAACTTTCTTGGGATCCATTCTGTTGTCATTTGGGGTGAGAATTAGGCCGAGATATTTCGTTTCTTGAACCATAAATTCGCATTTTTCGGGTTTGAGATGAACAGGATTCTCATCAAGTACATTTAAAACCTTTTGAATATGGTCCTTGTGCTCTGCAAGGGATTCGGAATAGATGAGAATGTCATCTAAATAGGCCGTCACAAATTGATCGAGGTAGGGGCGCAGGATATCGTTGATCCAGTGTTGAAAAGTAGTGGGAGCGTTCGCTAATCCAAAAGGCATTACCGTATATTCGAAATGTCCATATCGAGTCCGGAACGCCGTTTTCCATTCATCTCCTTCCGCTATCCTGATCTGGTTATAACCCCAACGTAAATCCAATTTAGTATAATATTTCGCTCTCGACAATTTGGCTAAGGTTTCCTTCAATAACGGCAATGGATAACGATTCTTAATCGTAATTGCATTAAGACCTCGATAGTCGACACATAAACGAAGAGTTCCATCGGCTTTCTTGACGAATAATATAGGTGCTCCTGCTGGCGATTCACTATGGCGGATAATTCCCTTAGGTAGGTTCTCCTGAAGGTACTCCCAGAGTGCCTTCAACTCAACTTGGGATAGGGCATATATTGGTCCCCATGGTGGTTGCTTGCCTTCTTCCAATATTATCTTCATATCATGGAATGGTCGATGTGGCGGAAGTACAAAAGCATCATATTCTTCAAACATATGGATGTAGTGATGAAACTCTTTTGGTATCAGTTGTCCCACATCAATGGTAGTTTTTTCAGTCGCCGAAACGGTAACGGTATGGGTTTCCGGTAGGAGAATTGATATGCCATGAACCGTAACTGTAGTTTCACTAAGCGAACAATGTTGATGGCAGCTTTGAGAATCGAAAATAAGCAAATTTTCCTTTGGTCGAATCGTGACGTCGTGGCGTCGCATCCAAGGTATTCCCATCACAATCGGATAATGTCCCAGCTTTGTTACAAAACATGACGCAGTCTCTCGATGGCCATGGATGTCTAGTGAAACTTCGACAATATGGGTAATTTTTCCTGACTTGATCGGTCTGCCATCTATAACGTCTACATGGTGTGGTATTTTGAGAGGGGTCATGGTGAGATTGTTGTGGCGTGCAAAAGATTCGTCGATGAAAGCATATCCTGATGCTCCGGTATCAATAAGGGCGTAGGTGGGTATGAAAGTATTTTTATTCTGTGAGATTGAACAAGTTACTACAAATTGGTTCCCATCCATTTCCTCCTCTGATACCGAAAAACCAGAAATATGCAATTCAGAAAAATCTTTAAATGGTCCCTGGGCTAAGCCACTTAGTGCAGGGACAAATCTTTTGCCGACTCGTTATCGCTTCCATCATTCTCCTCCACTCTCAATGCTGCTCCTCTCATCACCGGTCTTCTTGGTTGATTTCCAGTTCCCCTTGCTTGGGGGCAATCTCTAACCATATGTCCGACTCCTCCACAATAGAAACATCGGCCCTCAGCTAAGCGGGCATTTCTCTCAGTAGGGGTGGGGCGACGACGTCCCCCGGACAAATCCATCGGTACATCACCTCCCGGGCGGAACGAGGGATGGTTCTCAGGAGTGGGTACGTTGATAGCCGGGGCGGCAGCACGTGGGGTAGGGGCCGGATTCGCTGGTGGGGGGCGAGGGTTCGGGGCAGCAGTAGCATTCCAAGGCTTTTTACTTCCTCGCTTAGCTTCTGCTGCTCGTCGCCGATTATCCAACCGTTGCAAAAGTATCGCACAGGCATCTACCGTCGCAGGGGTTTCATGGTGTATCATCGATTCATCGAGTTCCGCATTGATACCTTCCATCAAAGCTTCAATCCGAGAGACTTCATCTATCCCTGACTCGGCAGCATACCTTTGAAATTCGGCGAAATAATCGGCAAAGGTTCGATTTCGTTGGCGGATGTTCTGAAGGTTCCTTCTAGCCGTTCGCATTCGATCAGGGTCTCCGAACGCTGTATCTAGGATTTCATAAAACCGCAACATGGAAGGCAAAGCGATACCTTCTTCTCCGACGTATTGTAAGAATTGATTCGCCGCAACACCCTCTAATGGACTGAATAAATAGGATAACTTGGACTGTAGTGTGGGAAAGCGGTCGGCATTTCCCAATAGTTTAATCCTCATCTGTTGTTTGAATAGGTGTAATCTCTCTCGATCGCGATCTCCCCTAAACATCTCAGGATCTGGGAGCTTCCCCACCGTTGGGTAGCAGCAACAACGGGTGGTATTGGAGGCGCAGGTGGGGCATCATCGCCACCAATTGGTTCTTCATCAGGGGCAACTACCTCAACAGCAACCCGTTGAGTTCGAGCAGCAGCAAGATCTCGTTCGAACATCTCCCTTGCATTTCCAGCTTCCCTCTCCACCTCCTGTAAATCCGTTGCATATTGGGCAAGGCCGTATTGGGCCCGTTGAAGAAGTGCATAACATCAGCAAGCTCGCCTATTACCCAGGGCGCAGCCCCTACGTCCTGGCGGGCATTCTGCGCCATGAGCGCCCAGCGCGTCCGGCACTGCCAGAGTACAACCTTCGCGCCAGGCTCCACCGCAGGACCGTCCCACTCTCTGGGACCGCCAGGAGATATGGCTCACGTCCGGAGGGCACTCGCCAATGCTCTGGTCGCCTGGGCCGCCATGAGATTCCCTCCCCCTCCGGAGACGTTAGGATGGAGTGACTCCGCCCACAGCACCTAGGAACTTTTGCTTCTTTTGATTACGTCAGTAGTACACGCGAGCACTTCCCAATGCTCTTACAGTTTTCTTGAATGCTCTCACGGCACGACGAATGCTCTCACGGCACGGCGAATGCTCTCACGGCACCGCGAATGCTCTCACGGCACCGCGAATGCTCCCGCGATTGCTCCCGCGAATGCTCCCGCGAATGCTCCCGCGAATGCTCCCGCGAACGCTCCCGCGAACGCTCCCGCGAGGGCTTCCGCGAGTGCTCCCGGACCACTCACCAATGCTCACAGAGCTGAGGCATTCGTCATACCCACTCAAGGTGAGGCAACCCTCATTTGGGCTCCTTTGGATTGATACACCGTCCTCAAAGGATAGGAAGGCCGCACCAGTCCCTCAAAAGATATCTAACGTGGGTATCCTCAACGCCGCTGTACGGTCAGTCGCGGGATACTGATACGAGCACTGTCCTGTATACTGGTGACGACTACCCAACCTTTGACGGACGTGTATGTTTCTGTCGATTCGTGAAAGGTATAATTAGCCTTGAGGTTGAGGCCATGGTACGGCTCATCTGAAAAGCTCAATGTCCATGCATAAGCAGCAAACATGGACTGGCATTGACCTCCTGGAGCGAGCTTGCTGGATAGCCAGACTCAGATACTGAGCGGCCGAAACTTTACCTCCTTCTTCCAATCCGCATGCATAGCAGAACGACACGAATTTTGAATTAGAGAGTCCAATTGGGTCTAACGTTCCTAGAGCACTCAAGAATGCCCTCACGGCTTTACAAGTATTCAACTAAATTCATTCCACGTACGCAAGTCTATCCTAGTATTTACCAACCAATTACCAGTCTCCACCTCAAACAAATGGGCCATTCCCAATATACTCCGAATATTAACGACCCACATCCTCTTCCTCCTCCTCCTACAAACCTTCAGGAGCCCATGTGAGCTATCAGCGATACCACGATCCTTTGCCTCGAGTAGCTCCACTATACATAGTCTATGTGCTCGCCCCCCACTGTCCCGCAGCTTGAACAAAGCCTCGACACGTCCTGGTAAGCGTCCCCGAAACACTCCCCACTCCTCTGAGGACGCTACCGACACCCATACCCAATCCTTTCTTATTTTCCCTTTCCTAAAAGCCGCGTTTCCCGTACACCTGATATTGTGAACCTCGTACACCTCAGGTCTTTGGAAGATTGGTATCGGAACCTGCAAACATGTGAACATCTCCACCCGGCGCTCTAAAATGCTCTCAGAGCTTCCGGCAAAGCTTTGAGAGCATCCCGCATCCTCTGCATACTCCTTTATCAGGCGATATAACGTGGTATGGCTTATTTGCAGTCCATCCGCAATATTGAAAAGTCTTTCCGATTTCGTGGAGGGGTTGCAAAGACGCCTTAGAGGCAGTCGGCCTTCTACTATGGATCGTTCATTTGGTGTTTTTTTCCGGTCTTCGATTTTAAAAATCTCAAGTAACTCCTTCAGGTTATCTCGATGGCTCCAAAGGATGTCGTCAGTGCTCTCAGGACCTCCAACAATGTCTTTCAGATTCAGCATTCGAATCTCTAACGCCAACCGCCGCCCCCCATAGTCCAGTATCTGCGTTGCAGCATCGACCTTGTTGGATGCTCCGTTATGCCTCTTTTATCTGACGTACATGGGCGAGTTCGCTGATGTCGGTGGAGTACTGGGGAATGCTCCCAAAGCGCTCGACATGTTCCCGATACTGCGTTAATACGTGCAATTTGATGAAGTTGAAGTGAGACCTTTCCCGTATCTCGCGAATCTCCTCCAAACCTCGCTAAGCGCTCTGGGAGCCTGAGGTCTTCACAGCTTTTGTCCGATCTCTCGCATCCTTAACCGTCCTCTTGTACGCCCGGAATTCTAAAAAGATATCCTTGTGCTTATGGAAATCCTCGAGATAGCTCTCCATATAATTCAGTGTGCTCGTCATATGACTCCCATACTGCGCCATTAAGTGGAAGTCGATTAAGCCTCGTACACATTTCAATGCCTTTGCGAAGTCGCCCCTGACAGCCACCCCGGGTTTCTCAAAGCATCCGCGAGTGCTCCAAGAACGACCCGCCCCAGATTTCTCATCTCCTTCCCTTGCCATTGGGTTGTGGCACGATATGCCTTGTTCGGTACTGTCAGTCCAGGGTAAGGCGCAATCGAGGCCCAAGCCTTGTCAAATTCCTCCAATCGATTGTGCTTCTTCAAGAAAGCCTGAACCCACTCCATCATGTGCTTCAACATCCCTAGGTAGATATTGTGCAGAATGTCCGGTTTGTTGAGATCGTATGGATTAACCCTCGGCATACCCCAGAAAGCATTGAAGAGTGTCTTTACTGATCTCGCGACAAGGTATTCCACCGGTCCCAGGTTTCCCGGGTTCTCCCTGAATAGCTTTACCCTCTCCCGGTAATCCTCGTGATCGCGCGTAGGGCTCCGGCGAGTGCTCCCAAGACTGTGGAATTCCACCTCGCATCTTGGACAAGAGCTAGTACTAATATTTTGTAAGTTTGAATGCTCAGGTTGATCAGCGATCCAACCCGACAACACCGGAAAGCATAGACGTTCGTACCCGTCGGCGCATGCGATTAGCTCGCCTTCCTGAGAGCACTCCCGAATGCTCTGAAAGATCTCCCCAAGGGCGCGATGCAGCGCCATTTGACTCTGACGTCGTAAAGCGGAATTAGCGAGTGAGTTCTTCCCGAGCTTAGGTGGGACTGGCAGTAGCCCTAGGAGAATTAACGAATGCCCGGTGGGCTTGCTCCGGACCGATGACTTGATGTTCCCGATGGTAAGATAGATTGGCCAGGCTTTCTTGTCCCCACTGAAATTTGTCAAATGTGTGCCATCCGACGCGCATATAATTGGTACCACAGTCGACCCCTCCGGTAAAGTGTTCTGTCCAGAAAGCATTAGCGACTGTCTCTAGAGCACTGGCCAGTGCGATGCCAAGTACAGACCTGTATCTCCCACCACCAATCTCCCGTATGCATTTCCCCGTACATTCGCTCGCCAAACTCATTATGCTCTACCACCGGCGAATACACCAATGACTCCCGAAAGGCTCGTTGGCCCAGAAGATATCGCACAATTACCATTGGATCCCGGTAATAGTAAGAGATTTTCTCCCCCCCAATATCCATCTCCGAATGATTCCAGCTCGCTTTGCCCAATAGATCGTTCATTTCCTCCAACCTCTTGATAAAACCTCACCCAGTCCTGTAGGAGCATTCGCCACTGCTTGACGGAGCGTGTAGAAAGAAACTGTCGATATTTCCTTGTGAGGCCTTCGACAGTATGAAATAACGTGCCATTCTAAACTCGTATGCTGAGTTGAATGGGTGCCACGGGTATCGGAGAAGGTTTTGTGAGCATTCGTCGTAGTCCTCCGAGCGGTAGAGACGCTCCCCAGCACCCTCGTAAATCGTTGTCGCTGCCTCATGCCTATTTGCATCTCCATCTGTCTCTTCCATCATAAAATATGATTCGGATTCCAGATCTGAATTATTATCGGGATCTTGGTCATGATAATTGATACTGTTGCTCTCCGAACTATCCGAGTCGTCATGGGCATCTGAATAGGAATCGTGAATGCCTTCCGGGCTGTCGTGAGTGTCATCGGGTGCCTCTTGATTGCGCTCCAGGAGTAAAAATTGGTTTCCCAGCCATTCATCTGCTTCAAATGGATGTGTAGTTCGAAGATGTTCATCGAAGTTCGCGGAGGAGCTGTACCGCTTGCTGCAAAAGGGGCAAGACGATTTCATTGAAGTCTCATGATGCTAGCAAAGCACTCCTGAGTGCTCTAAAAATTTGGTTTCTGCCAAGGCCGAGGAGGCTCTTTCCTGCAGGTGCTGCTGCAGAGTGCTCGAATGATTTGATTTGTCAGCCAATGAGGCTCCTCTCACCTGCACCCCGGTCGGCAAGGCTGATTTTCAATACGAGTCTGATGTCATACATCACCAACCTAATACAAACATCAACACCAACACGAAGAAACACCCACCACCCCAATCAGGCGGCCAGTTATGCTAGATTCTATCGCCCTGAGCATCTGCACTCTCTCCCTGAGCACTCGCGGAGTCTCTTCAGATCGAGACAGTGTTCTCAGCGCCAAATTCAACACTAATATCGACTACGAGCTCAAAGAATACATTCTCTCCGAATCAGCTTCCTAGAGGACAGAGTACCAACACCAACAAGAACACAAGCACCAACCCCAACACCAGAATGTTATCGACGTCACCATTGGTACCGTCAGAGCATCCCCGAGTGCGCCTGGAGCATTTAGATCAACGTCATATATTGAAGCAAACATTGAGTACGAGCACCCTCGGGTGCTTCTAGAGCATTCGTGGGTGCTCTCGGAAGCGTGATAAGCTCAAGAAAAAAGCTGATCGTACTCGGTATAAGAGCACCCCTCCCTTCCTTCAAGTTCGTGAGAAGTTCCTAACCACCTTCAAGTTCTCCTCTACCTATCACTTCAAGTTTTCCATTGCTTTCAACATTACCTGTTGAAATCTCATCCTTCAAGTTCCTCCGTTTTCAAGCGATTTAACCTTTGCAATCTTTATAAATAAGATGGTATTTCTCTCTCCTAATCCAATTAATTTTAGAACCATACTCACCACAGTGATACATTAACATTATCAGACTCCAAACACCGCTCAGAGCACTCCCGGTAGCTCACAGAACATAAATCAACTTCCCAATAAGAAGCGCTTGCGTGACATAGACGAAGACGATAACGAAAAGACCCACCGAAAAACCAAGAAACACAAATCGTCCCGAAAACATAAGAAACACCGAACTTCCTCAGGTCGCAAATCGTCCCGCAAAACTGTCAAGCCTATCCCAGAGGAGATACCAGAAACACCCCCTAAGCAGTCGCCAGTGCTCTCCGGGTTCACCCCGATCAACAAGAGCCGAAAACAAAACCCTGTACCTCCACCAATCCGGACTGAAACCCGGACTCCGCCAAATACTAACCTAGCTCCATCGGACACTGAAGGGATCTTCCCGAGTAACTGGGGAGCAACCCTAACTGATTCTGACTCCTTTCCCGACTTTAGTTCCGAACCCTCTGAACCATACATAAGTGACGATCAAGACCCAGCAACAGGTCCAGCAACAGGCCCACTAGCAGCAGTCTCCACTGCTTCCTCAGCACGCAGCAGTGCTTCACCAGAGGCCCTTGTACGGACGACCGTACTTAGGGTTAGTGCTACCCCACCAGCACCCGCTAGTGCTCCACAAAAGAACGTTGCCCGGAAGACCATAGTCCCAAGTCAAGTTCTCACTCGGTCCAAGTCTAGTGCAGTCCGCTCAACAGGCCCAGCAGCAACAGGCCCAGCAACAGGCCGCTCAACAGGCCCAGCAGGCTCTACTACTCCCTCACCAGCACCCGTCAGTGCTCCACCGAAGGTTCTTGCACCGGAGACCCCTACATTCAAGCCCCGACGCCCCTCTCGGTTATTTTCTAGTGCAAGCCCGTCCGAACTAATAGACCACCCCTCACCAGTACGACAGAGACTAATTAGACCCGAGCCATCGCCGATTGTCCAAGAGACATCCCCGAGTGTTCAAGAGACATCCCCGAGTATTCAAGAGACATCCCCGAGCTCGACCGCATTCAAGATGACTCAAGCAAGCAAAGCGAAGATGACTTTAGGTCTACTCAACCTACCTAGAGTGTACACCAGCATCCGCAACAGCCTAAAGGCGGAAATGCAAAATGTGGGTTGGGTCAATAAAAGCACGTCCGGTATGGCTGCGTTCAATGCCCTATGCCTTTACTTGATGACCTTGCCCTCCCTCAAAGGTTTTCTGCCAATTTGGACTGGGGGTGACTCCGATGCCCGTAGAGCACTGGCGAGTGCTCTACAGTGGCTCATCGCAGATGTTGGTATGAAGGATAGGTTATCAAGGGGACAGGGAGACCGTCAGTTCAAAGAGGCTGCCGGTGATAGTGATGATGATGATGACGGCGGTGGTCAGGCAGCCGGAAAACGCTCTCGCAAAGGGAAAGAGCGTGCAGTACCTCCGGAACTCGTGCGACCTTCCATAATGGTTACCGTGGTGGACCCCGATGCTCTAGGGGCATTCTTTATGCTCGTCCCACCACCTACTTATGACTGGAATGATCCCCTGAACGAACCTTCGTTCATCGGAATTTTGACCAAGATAACTTTCCCCGAGCTATGCAACTTGATCCTGAAGCACACCGCAACCGGCAGAGCAGTCAGGACTATCTGGGGGGCAATTGAGAATGTCCCCCCGGCAGCTGTTCCTCCCGTTCGGCCGGTGGAGGTACAAATTACCGATTCAGAGGAGCTCGAAGGTTGGTTGAAGAACAGCAATGCCAGGCCTCGGAGGATATTGGCGGTCCTCCACAGAGCAGGCGCGGGTGCTAACCTGGGTGGTGCGGAATCCCCCCCGTTGAACCCGGCTTTCCCTCACGTTGAGGAAGATGATTATAGCATGATCGATATTCCTGCAGAGGATTCGGATTACGAGGAGGGAAAGCACCGGATAAATGCCAAAGGACTGAGGGTATATATGCCTAGAACTGATGCCAGTAATCAAAGGCTAATTCAGACTCTTGTTAGGCGTCGCGATAGACAGCAGGATGCTATCGACGATTTAGACCCCAAATACCTTAGGAAGTATCCTTTGGGTGTCGGGGTTGCTGACCCAAACTTCTTACAGGGGACGATCTGGACACCTGCCGGGATAGCAGCCAAGAGAGCTGCTGACGCACTCGCGGCTGCTGGTGCTGGAGGTGGTGGTGGTGGTGGTGGTGGTGGAGGTGGTGGTGGTGGTGGAGGTGGTGGTGGAGGTGGTGGTGGTGGAGGTGGTGGTGGTGGAGGTGGTGGTGGTGGTGGTGGTGGTGGTGGTGGTGGTGGTGGTGGTGGTGGTGGTCTAGGACCTCCACCGCCTCCGGGCGGACCTCCTCCTCCTCCGGGCGGCGGTGGTGGTGGAGGACCAGCTGGAGGCGGTGGTGGTGGTGGTGGTGGTGGTGATGGTGGTGATGGTGGTGGGCATCATTAGTTCCCTTTGGTATAATCTCTAACTTCCCTTCCTGCGGAATTGTCACTAACCTTTTAATAGTTGTTAGGATTACTCCCTGAGCACTCGCGATAGCTATTGAGGTGCGGTACGATTTGGTGTTTTGGATTTCCCTTTGTCTTGCGAGAGTATATCAATGGATGGGTTATATCGGATAGGATTAGATTAGATTAGATTAGATTAGATTATTCCAGGTAGTAATTGCATTGCTTTTATTTCAAAGTCGAATCAAACTCCTAGATTGCTCTCAGAGCACTCGGTACCGCTTCAGAAAGTGCAGTAAAACGAGTGATGATAAATGATGCGGTTGAGTGCAGAAATTGTGGTAACATAGGTTGATCCCTGCCGTAAGAGGATTAGCGGTGCAAATTTTTCTTGATTAGCGGCGCAAATTTTCTCGCCAAGAATTGATTTCTAATCGAAGATATCGCGAGTGCTCCTAGAGCACTGCGGATATTCCTGCCAGTCATCAGAATGGCTCCCACCAAGCGCTCCTCCGGTTCAGCACCTCTTGCCCCAAAGCGCCCACGACTCCCAAAACGACCTGAAGAACATGAAGATTTACTGACTGACGAGTCTGAAATATCTTACCGAACATTGACACCACTGCCAGCCCGCACTCGGAGTAGTCAATCGACCACCGCCGCTCAAATAACTCGGAAAGGTCTTCTCCGTTCCTCCGAAACCCCCACTGGGAGGAGCAGTCCTAGGAGGGTAGAATTTCATCTCACCGAGGATCATACTGATAATTTTGAAGCGCAGGAGGAGCCTGAGGCAATTGAGGCGCCAGAGGCAATTGAGGCGCCAGATGTGGAAGAAATAGTTGATACTAGCCACTCAGACTATGA